TGTATGTATGTATGTATGTATGTATGTATGTATGTATGTATGTATGTATGTATGTATGTATGTATGTATGTATGTATGTATGTATGATGTATGTATGTGTGTATGTATGTGTGTGTATGTGTGTGTGTGTGTACGTATGCATGTATGTAAATATGTATGTATGTATTTATACGTGTGTGTATTGTATATATTATGTATTTATGTTTGTATACACACTTGCATGGATATATGGATTAACTGGATGAATTTATGGATGGATGGATAGAGGTCGAGACTGTCTCATACATCTTGGCATCAGTCGTTCTCCGTTGTGAAGTGGTCACGTCGTTTGCTTCACGCTCTTGCGATCGTCGTCGGAGCTGCGGATTTCGTGCTCTAAGGAGGCGGCTAGTTGTTCTGTGCAGACAGCCCGAGCCAAAAGGAGTAAAGTCCGTTACAATAAAGTTGATCCTCTCGATTTTATAACATTTCGAAATTATATATTTTCTTTGTGTTATCTGCAAAGAAAAGAGGGTGGGGCGGGTTACCCTAGCGTGTTGTAGCATAACACCTCACACGCCATCGGCAATATTCGTATTGGGTTTGCCTTCACTTCTTCGTGTGGCCCTAAGTCTGAAAAAGTTAGGGAAATCGTTTCACAGTTCAGATTTCGACATATCAGGATTCTATTACCGTGGCTGGCGGTTTACAAAAAGACCATTATTGTGAGTTTCAGAGAGAGGCACAAGGGTCACATCTAGTAAGAGATTAGGGTCCTTTCATGTAATATACCAACAGATATCAGGGAGAACTCTAGAGCTAACCAACCTTGTTTAGAGTTTCATTTCATTCATTCATTCATTCATTCATTCATTCATTCATTCATTCATTCATTCATTCATTCATTTCATTCATTCATTTATTTATGCATTCATTCATTCATTCATTAATTCATTCATTTCATTTATTCATTTATTTCATTCATTCATTCATTCGTTTCATTCATTCATTCATTCATTCATTCATTCATTCATTCATTCATTCATTCATTCATTCATTCATTCATTCATTCATTCATTCATTCATTTATGCATTCATTCATTCATTCATTCATTCATTCATTCATTCATCGTCTTATTGTGGCATTATACATCTACAGAAGTCGCATCCTTGTTTCTCCACTCTGTTCGATCATGTGCAATCACTTGGACATCCTGGATGGAATCCAATCCGGCACTTTGGGCTTCTCTCATCAACGTCAGTCCTAGGGTCTCTTTTGGGCGACCTCTTTTTGTCAGCGTCTGTGGCTTAGGCGTTGCGAACATGCTTCGTAATGCCGGGTTGCCGGGTTCAGTCCCAGCTGTGGGTCTTGCTCCTTATGCTGGTTTTGACAGTGGTATCGATAAGTCGACCGACCAGAAAGCTATGGCAAACTACTGGACGTAAATTTGCCCAGAAAAAAACCCCCACAACAGATAAATGCCGGGGCTGGTTCTGCAATATCCTGTAAAGGATACGCAACTAACTTAACTTTATTTCTCATTGCAGTGTCTGCTGTAACTCCGTCCCAATGTGGGACGCCGCAAATGTTTTCTTATTTTAAAGCTCCACCCCCGGCTGTCGTAAGGGGCCCTAAAGTAATAAAATGGATGGAACGTATGCTTGGGGAAGGGGTAGGGTGGAGGGGTTCTCATCTGAATGATGGGGCTCTGTGCGTCCAGGTGTTAATCGCACGTTGTGGGGTTCTGGTGGGTTGAACGTTACTTACACATTTAGTGTCTGTCTAGTGATTTTCTGTTCATCTATGCTCAGAATGTGTCCAATATAGCGCCATCTTCTCAGTCTTATACATTGTATAGACAGCACACAGTTTATTAATTTACTACTTCAACATACTAGAACCAGCCAGAACAATAAAAATTAATAAGACGTAATAAACTATACCGATATAGCCAAAGATTGTGGAAAACTCCTGACCATATATTGACATATGACAATACAGGCAAACTTCCCTCAACCAGTGTGTGGCAAAAACTGTTTGCCAGGAAGACGTTTTCATCAATAACTCCCGGCGACCGCTGTGTAAACTATCGGTTAACTAAGTTAATGAGAACAAATAAAACTACCATACACATTCACGATGGCAGCAGTGGCTAGATGTTTTTTAGTCGATCTAAAAGTTGTGGGTTCAAATCGACAGTGTAGATTTTAAAAAAAAATTATCTTGGCTTCCAGGTCGACTTAGTCTGAACAGGGTATCTTGAAATGTGTTGGGAGAAAATGTTGTATTCAAATCGCTCATTAGGTACTGACTGGTCTATACAAGTTGGAGATCAAGTTTGAGGTTTGATCAACATCATGGTACAAGGATAAGTGCTCCCATAAGTGCTCCGTTTTTCTTATTACTCAAGTCTGAGTCTGAAGAAGCTCAGCACAATGCAAAGGGCTCTGTAGCACCGGCGAGGATCCTGAAATACTTTAGGTAGATTTTTAACTCCAAATTTGTTTGCCTGGGCAGCGCCGTTTGGCTACTCTGTTTTGATTTTTTACGTGCACACACACGGGCGTCCGATCTCACTACCCAGAGACCAGGGGGTATTACAAGTAGTCCAGGTCCACGTGAAAAAGTCCCAGCCCTTACCGGGGATCGAACCCGGGACCTCTATCACTTGAGGCGGACACCATGCCTCGAGACCACGCAGCCCCCCCCACCCCCCCCCCTCCCCCACCCCCCCACCCCACACATAATGAAGTACTAATGGTCTTTTAGATTATTTTTTTAAACACTGTTGTAGCCATTATTGTAAATACATTTGTTTTGTTTTTTTTTTTTTTTTTTCTCTCAAGAAGTTAATAGTAATCTTTCATGACTGCTATTCATCTGTTTTCAGAACCTACACTCCCCGTGTGGGTTCGGAAAAGGGGTTAAGGGTTACTTTGCTTGGGTATGTGTGGATAGACTTTCTGCCCTTAATAAGCACGTGGAGGCTGCGTGGTCTCGAGGCATGGCGTCCACCTCGAGTGTTAGAGGTCCTGGGTTCAGATGAAGGTTAGGATTTTGTCACGTCGACTACTAGTAATTACCCCCAGTCTCTGGGTAGTAAGAGTAGACGACCAAGTGTTCTGTTATGCACGTAAAAAAATCCCTTGGCCGTTGGACATTTTAAAACTGTTTAGTAACTTACAATCAACCCCTTCCTTTCTCTATTTCTGAAATTTACTAAGGACTTTTTTAACCTTGTAAGAGGTAGGTCATGGTAGATTAACGGAGCTCCGCCATAAAAAAATAATTCAGAAAAGAGCTGGGCAAGTCAGAATAATTTAAAACCACTAACCCATGATGAAATCCAATGATTTTAAAATTACGGATTGTTGTTGTTTTATTTAAAAAAACTGACCGTGACGTCAGTGTCTACACGAATATATAAAATTACTCATTTGTTTTTAAAAGTATGAATAAGGAAAAAAAAAAAAAAAAACGTATCGCTGCGTTAGGCGTTTAAGTAAATACATTTAGAGTAGTTATGTAATGTTTAAAAACAATGCTAAGGAAACCCTTTCTTACGCCAGTGGCCAGTCGGGCCTATGATGCAAGACATATGCTTTTAGACAATTTGGCATTTATTAGGTGGTCATCATCACGCCGGCTGCCTTGACTTCCCAGCACTTAACCTGGCACCTATTAGGAGGTCATCATCACGCCGGCTGCCTTGACTTCCCAGCACTTAACCTGGCACCTATCAGGTGGTCATCATCACGCCGGCTGCCTTGACTTCCCAGCACTTAACCTGGCACCTATCAGGTGGTCATCATCACCCCGGCTGCCTTGACTTCCCAGCACTTAACCTGGTACCTTTTAGGTGGTCATCATCACGCCGGCTGCCTTGACTTACCAGCACTTAACCTGGCACCTATTAGGTGGTCATCATCACGCCGGCTGCCTTGACTTCCCAGCACTTAACCTGGCACCTATTAGGTGGTTATCATCACGCCGGCTGCCTTGACTTCCCAGCACTTTACCTGGCACCTATTAGGTGGTCATCATCACGCCGGCTGCCTTGACTTCCCAGCACTTAACCTGGCACCTATCAGGTGGTCATCATCACGCCGGCTGCCTTGACTTCCCAGCACTTTACCTGGCACCACTTTTCAGCGGGATCGATCTGGGAGTCAAGATCAAATATGAAGACAAAAAATCGACTGGAACTATGACTTTCGGACCCACGCTTACTGTTGTTGTAAAAGTTAAAAAAAAAAAGTAACGGACCCTTTCCACGCCTTTAGTTGTGTAGGGCATATAGGGCTAGACCTATATTTTATAGACCAATCGGCACTAGATGGGTGATGTGGTCAGCATTACGCCAACTGCTTTTACTTCCCGGGACGGCACCCGGTACCTACTTGAGACTAAGTTGACCTGGGAGCCAAGGTCATTTTTGAAAAAAGGCCCGCTTCACCAGGGAGCGAACCTACGACCTTCCAATCCGCAGCGAGCGCCTAGCCGCTCCGCCATGTGGTCTCCCGCCGTCTGCTGTGTTCCATAATAAATTACGATATAGAGTATCCATTTTAATACTTATAATTGTTTAATTGTTCTCAACAGATTTCAACATGGTCGGTCGAGTTCTCTGCAACCGAGAACGCGGCAAACATTCTCAACAAGTCTTGAACCCATCCCCGCCTGCTCAACATTACACAGCTTTACAAAACATGGAAGAAACAGCCACCAGTGCTTCTGGGCACACCGCCACAGCAACCCTTCTCACAGATTCAAACCCTTCGTCTTTGAACTGGAATCCTTACAAAAGCTTAGGGACTGTGCAGAGAATGTGGTCAGTACACTTCCACATCCGAGTCCTCTACACAACTATTATTTGCCTTACTGTAGTGCTCGTACTGTCGCTGACTATGTGCTACCTGGAAATCCATGCGCTCAAGCAAGTACTGTCTTACCAGCTGACCTCAGATGGTAGAGTAGAGTTTCAGTTTCCTGCCAGAAGAGAGCAAGCGATGGTCTTCAAATGCCTTATATTACCCCAGAAGATGAACTCAATCTTGGAGGTTTATGGGAGGGTGATGAGTTGACGGAAAACTCGGAATCTAAGTCCCGGTCGAAGAGACACACACGCTTTTATGAAGGCTCAGGAGACTCTGATGACTGGCTTTGGATGAGTTCCTTTGCCAGAGTCCCGGTAAGTGATCTTCAGCTTGTTACATTGCAACCTTGAACTTTTAAATTTACTTAGTGTCCCAATCAACGACTCATCGGCGTCCGTGGCGTAGGCGTTGCGAGTCTGACTCGTAATACCAACGTACCGTGATCGAAAACCACTGCTGGCTGCGTGGATTTTTGTCATAGTATGGGGCGTCGCAGGTCGACCCAGCCTAAAATGGGTACCAGGATGGCTGTCCTGGGGAAGTAAAGACAGCTGGCGTAATGCTGATCTCATTACCCACTGCGTGCTGATGGTCTGTAAAAATATGGGCCTTCTTCCCGTATACCTAATACGCCTAAGGCGTGAAAAAGAATCTTTACTTTTACTTTTACTAATCAACGACTCCTGTGTGACTATATGTAATTCTTCTTTATCAGTTAACATCCAGCTTTGAATGGGTGCCAGGTAAAGTCCTGGGAACTAAAGGCGGCCGGCGTGGTATTGACCACATTATCCAGTGCTACACCACGGCGACTCCCATCTTTCTAAAAGAAATACAATAACAAAACATTTCTACCTTTTTTCTGTGAGCATTGGACGCCAGCCAGCAGTAAATGGAAAATAAAAAAATGAAGACGACGAAAATAAAGAAAGCGCGCCTAATGATTGTTTAGGTTTGTACTCAGTTTGACAGAGCCCGGAGATCCTGTTCTATTTCAGCCCACAAAATTGTATCGCCTACATATTTTATACTGGCATTGATTTCCCTCCAGTATCCTCTCAGTCTTCCGTCTGTCTGTTCGAATTTTATTTGTGTGTAGATTTGTACAGTGGTGATGATTTGTTTAATATTGAATCAAGAATCGATATTACAGCCCTCAGGAATTTCCATAAGCTCTTCGTCCCCATCTTCAGCAGCAAGCGCAGTGTGCCAGGTGTGATTGTATCAGTAACTGTCTGAGTGTACATCCGTCTTGCTCTTCCCCTAAGTGTTGAGCGTGAGCCAGATCCCGTGGTCCCTCCTCGCAGCACAGTTCTCCTCAGACAGTCATGATCTTTTTGTGCACTTGCACTGTTCACTCGCTCCCACAGGACCCTTACAACATCTGGCTTGTCAGGCATAAGTATACTACCAAGTAGTCGAGAACCAGCCAGTCTGTCGGCCAGTCTATCGGCCACATGATTACCATAGCAATTTGAAATTTACCCCTTACTCTTTTTGTCTGCACAACGCGAGTTTGTTTGATTTCATTGCAAATGTAGTAATGGACCTTGCGAGATACAGGGACGTATTCCAGCCAATAGACAGTGTATTGATGTGCTTGCATTATTTTAATTTACAACGGAAAAACAATAGTATACTACCAAGTAGTGGAGAACCAGCCAGTCTATCGGCTTTTCTTTTCCCAACACACCAGCATGACCTAGACAAAATAGCCAACGTACGCCAACTGCCTGGGACTACTGAAGTGATGCTTGCAACTCTGCACAAAGCATACCTGTCGCCGCCTTTCTCAACATGCTCTGCTCTGCTCTAGTGTGCACAGATAGCTATTAATCCGGCAGAAGGCTGCAGTGACGGCCCTCTTCGCCATTCTTAAACCATATGTTGTGGCATCATATGCCAGGTTTTGTTGCTTTAAGCGACGTCATTGGCTTTTTGCCAAGAGTTCCAATTAACTGTGTTTGCCTGTCAACACATGGACATCTGTATGTATATTCACATCACCTGGGAGAGGATTACCATGCGTCATTTTTTATAACTTCTGATTCTGCAGCGCTCGCTGGCCAGTCACTGCACTCACACCTCAGTGTGATCAGAACTTTGGATAAGTCTGACTGTAGCTCGACACTTTTACCAGCTCCTCTCCTCGCCCACAATTATCAAATCTGCACACCTCTCTAATTGTCTTCTGCTTCTGCTTGCGCCATCCAAAACCTTTCTGTTTTTGGTTCAAGACTCTCAGCTCTATCAAGATTCTTCAGCGGTCTGCTTGACACGGTAAGCATTCCAAGGTCATAATTTATCATCGAGACCATCACCTGCTATGAAGACTAAACAGCAGTCTTCGTTCCAATATCAACCTCTACAGTAATCTTGAGCGCATCGAATTATTTCTGGCATTTCCCCGCAACTACGTCCATATAAACCACAAAGTGCAGGGAAAGTGGTACACAGGAACACAGTTTGCTTTCTCTTTTGATGTTTCTGTCATTGACTGATAGCAACAAGTCAGAAAGAATTACAGGAAATGATAGACATTGTGGTGTTAGAAAGTGGAAGAATGGGCCTCAGTTTGAATAATGGGAAGACAGAAGTAATGGTGGTATAAAAGAAACAAATTATTCCTAAATGTGTAATAAAAGTCAATGGTGTTATTTTAAGACAAGTACAGAAATTTAAGTATCTGGGCACATGGATAACATCAGATGGAAGATGCATAACTGAAATAAGAAACAGAATTGGACAGGCAAAAACTGCATTTTATAAAATGAAAAACATCTTGTGCAATATATCCTTGTCATTGAGAGTTAGAAAAAGAATTCTTGCTTGCTACATACATCCAGTTTTAACATATGGATGTGAATCCTGGACAATCGGTAGGCAGGGCCAAACAATTTTTTAGAGGCCTCAGAGATGTGGTTTTACAGAAGAATGCTTAGAATACCTTGGACAGCCAAAAAGAGCAACCAAGAGGTTTTAAAAGAGGCGGGAGACCGAAGACAACTTATCACTGACATCAGAAGGAGACAGTCATCATTTTTCGGCCATGTTATGAGAAGAGGGAAAATAGAACATGTTGTGACCACTGGAAAGATCTGTGGAAGGAGGGATAGAGGAAGACAACGAGAGAAGATGCTTGACAGTCTTGTTGCATGGCATGGAGGTGTGTCGGCACACGAACTGATACATGCTGCAGGAGATCGCGGATTATGGAGAGGCATGATCGCCCACGCCAGTCGGCAAGGCACCTGATGATGATGATGATGATGGTCATTGACTGTGGTGTCAGGAACATGACCTCTTACAATTCTATTGTACAGAGAGCACTATAAAATAGCCGCCTTTTAATGACACCATCCATTTCTGGGCGCCAATCAGTCAATGTCTACAGTTGCCTCTAGCTCTTGTGCTTCCTGTTGCCTACCCCTCGCCTGCCCTAATGCAAGAACATCATCTGCAGATGGCAATGTCCTTCCAGTCCTTGGTGCGAGTATACGCATTGAAGAGCACTGGTGAAATTAAAGAGAACTGGGATAGTCCCAGAGTGGTTTTACATGGTTCTGAGGTCCGTGTGCCCAGGCGAAGGGCAGCCATACGTGAATGCAGGAGATCTGCTACCCAGTTCACCAGCCAGGGACAATAGATACCCCTTCTTCATGTGCGCGGATTGCAAAATACCGGGGTACCTCAATTAACAAACTTATTTCGCTCCTGACAGTGGTTCATATCTCGAAAAGTGTGTATATTGAAATCCAGTTTCCCATTACATTTTTCTGGAAATTAATTAATATGTTCTTCTCAAATCAAAAATTAAAAGACAAATTAAATAGTAACAAAGAACTACTCGCACTTAAATTAAGAAAATACAAAAAAGTGGACTAAGAGTAAGAAGGAGCATTTTTAGGCATTTGTATACTTTTTAAATTTGTGTTTATCAAATCTCTGATTCTACGTAATACAATTCTACGTATCAAAACCACTTCCATCAAATTGTCAGGTTTCCTTCCGTTTCTTTGGCGAAGAGGGTTTTAAAACCATATCTAACGTTGTCTGTGGTTGCCGTTTCTTTAGGCCGCTTCTAACATGATTAATACAATTGTCATCGAAGATGGAAACTATAGCTTGATTTGGATGCCACTTGTTAGCTAATTCTTCTAATTCGCCAAATGCTACAAGATTTCTTTATGTCGCTTGTTAGGATTGCTTCGTTTGTGTTACTGTCTTCGTTTTATGTAGATATTTGCTCTTCTCCTCATCCGTTCTGTTTTCCTGATCGGTTCTTAACCTCTGTAGCTCTTCACTGGTATGCTTCTCTACCAGCTCCTCTACGTCTGCTTCATCAACTTCCAAAAGCATGGTTTTTCCCAGGGAGACTTCACTACATATACAATGTTTATTTCGCTGTCAAGTCCTTCCAGGGCAGTTGCTTATAGCATGTACTGCACACACCACTCGTTGGGTCGTATTCCATATTTTTGCGGCATAGTAACAACGAACGAACGAACAACCGAACAAATTTACTTTCAAAGGGGTACAAATTGGGCACGCAGGTCCGTCAGACATTCGGCCCTTCTAAGCACTCATCTTTCAAAGCGCCATTACTTGTTACCAATAATGCAACAATCATGTGCTCTAGCGCAATGGATGACGTCTCGTATCTCGAATCTAGGTTCGTATGTAGCGGTTGTATATATATAAAAAAAGATCCATTTTCACGCCTTTAGACGAATCGGGCCTATGGGAAGAGCACCCATATTTTTACAGACCAATCGGCACTAGGTGGGTAATGTGGTCAGCCATTACGCCGGCCGTCTTTACTTCCACAGGACATCCATTCTGGTACCCATTTTAGGCTGGGTCGACCTGCAACGACCCATACCATGATTAAAATCGACGCTGGCAGCCGTGGGTTTCTATAACGGTATGTTGGAATTACGAGTCGGACTCGAAACGCCTAAGCCGCGGACGCCGCTATCGGTCGATATAGGATGTGAGAAAAGTTCGTACCTCAAAATGTTCATTAGTCGAGGTATCACTGTATCCTTTATTCCTTCACTTCGTTACATCAAGCGCAATAGGGTATATCTTCAACTGTTGATTACTTTAATTTGTTTGGAATGAGTCTCATTACTTGTCAGACTTTGTATTTGTAAAATTAACATTGTTGTTTTTTCCATGTGAATCGGCCTATAGTCTAGAATGCTTATTTGCATACACTGAAATATACATCTATTTGGGCAAATATGTGTGTTTGTTTTTTTACTGAATATAATGTCAGCTTATTCAAATTGTACTTGTCTTTGATCGTTCA